GGCTTTGTTTGCATTTATTTCCCTGGGTCCCTCTTAACTCCTCCACTCTCCCTCCCAGGGTTCTAATCCCTCCTCACCACCTACGGTAGCAAAATGTGCAATGGAAAGTACGAGAAAGCACTGCGAGACGACCTTGACAAGTTCAGATAATAATGTTTCCATCCATCCCAGGCTTTTCCAGAAAAAGATAAAATAAAAATCCCCGGACCTTCCTTTGTTCTCTCTCATCAGGAAAACTATCTGGCCAGGGTCTCAGAGGCAGCCTGTGTCTGGCAGCCTTCCCTGAAACCAGACTGTTCCGTGGTGATGAGAGCAAGGTGGAAGGTGCGGCTCGGGGTCAGTCTTAGGGTCGCTTTGCTCTTTTTCCCTTAAGGGCAAAGTGCATTGGCTTCTACCCTCAGGACTTGGCTGTGTCGCAGGCCAGTGTTGCTTCCACCGCCCACCCTCTACGTGATCTTCTTACCTCTTCATTATCAACATTAGGAAAAGATCCAGTTCTTGGAGCGTATCATTGAAGAGAAAAACATTGTGCAGCTTTTGAAAAATAGTTTCATGTCTTATCTTCTGTTGATGATTAAGTAACAATAAATTATTATCTTAAACAGATTTCTGGGGAGAGAAAGAGCTCTAAATGGACAGAGTTGTTCCTTTTGTATGGTAATCCTATTTCTTGGCTTGGAGGTTACATACAAATCATGGGAGAGATGACCTCATTCCTTAAAAAAAAGTATATTAAACATTTTACCAATTCTAGAGTATTTAACTACTGATGGGATTTCTAATATGATTTAATGCACTTACCTAAAAAAAAAAAAATCTCTGTATGCATTAAAAATCTGTGGTTTGAGCATAATAGCAGCCTAAGTGCTCACCTTAGCTCTCTTAGTCCGCATCGAAGGCCCCAGGCATGGCTAAAAGTTTTCTACTATTTCGTTGTACCTCTCAGCTAAGTCATCTGTCTGTCATCTTCCAACCAGGTATTTCTGAGTGTAGTGTCTGTTTTGCTAAGAAGTAAAATAAGTATAGCAGATTTCATTGTGACTGATACCTCTTCTCTCTTTCTAGTCTTTAAACAGGTCTTTATGTCCCTTCAGAGGATTTTGCTCTCTTTCCCCTCAGGACCTTTGTTTAGCTGCTGCCCTAGTCTTCACCCTCCCAACTCTTCCTACCCTTAATATCTCAGCTTGAACATTATATCCTCAGGGAAGCCCGACTAGATTCGATCTTTCTGAAGGTGAATCCTTCGATGGGACCCTAGACTGTGCTATTGTGACATTCATCCCATAGATAGTTTTTGTGAACATGGAAAATAAAGGGCACTCAGTAAGTGTCAGTTTAATTGCTGAGTTAGTTCTCCCCAGGGGTGTGTTTTCTTGGAAAGAAGTACCTCAGGACTGCATCAGTCCCTTCCACACATTGATGTCCCAGCACGTCTTCCTTGCCCTACAGAAACTTGCAGTAGGTTGGGAGAGGTTCACGTACTCCGAAGCTTTGCACAATCTTAATTCTCCACTTGGTTTCAGAAATTGCTTCTTCAGTTTTCACCGGTCACTTAAGAATCCTGTCCTGCAATTTGCACCACAGTTTGGTGTCCCCAAGGTGATATGTCCTGAGGAGGGTGCCTCAGGGGTGTGGGTGTGGGTGGAGATTGTTCCTGGCGACTGTCTGCTCCGGCAGGCCTGGAGCCACACGTGTCGTAGCATGGTTTGTATTCTATATCATTCTTTCTAGGACAGGGGGCAGATTCTTTCCGTTGATTTCCATGAGTGCTGACTGATTTCACTGAGTCATTTGACCTTTTCCAGCACCTTCCTTTTGTGGCTTATGGCAAATAGTTTTAGGACTGCCGTCTCTCCCCCTCTCTCGCAGTGTCCTTGTTGATACTATGTAATTTGGAACCTTATGTGACCAGTGCCAGGTAGGAAAGCAGGCAGTGTTGTCTCTGCTCCAGGTAGGGTCAGTGCAGCTCAGTGGCCTGTCCCCCCCTTAGGGCACAGGGGCGCCTTTTCCGGTTTCCTTTCTTGTTCTGTGTACAGAGCCAAGTAGCTTCTCTAGTTTAACAGTCACCTTTCCTGTGAGTTTGGGACTTTAAACTAGGATTTCCTCTCTGTCTTAAAGTCCTCTCTCCTCCTAACTAACCAGATCTGGTTGGTGCAGCAGTTAGAGCTCAGGAGTGGAACCGAGAAGGGGAAGACAGAAGCCACTGGGCAGGAACCCTGTGGTAGCTCATGTTGAGAGAGGTCGCTTTCCTTTTAGAAATCTTACAAGTTGCACATTTTATCTGTTTCTCCGTCTGTCAAGGACGGAAAGTTCCTTCTCAGGACGGGCAAGCACAAAGCTGCTCTGAGCTCTGGGCCCTGGTCCAGGACTTCCCCAAAGCCCCCCTCCCTAGCGTGCTGATAAGCCCTCCGCCGATAGGAGGGCAGGGGTCTGCTTCGTGTTGTGTCGCGCTGTTTGTGTATGCCTTTCCCTCCTTCTCTCCCTTCTTCCTCCAGCCCTTCATTTCTCTTTTGTGTGAAAGTGCTGTTTCTAGCTGATGCAGTGTCTGGGTTGGTAGTGAACTTTCAAAGCCCTCTTAGGCTAAGCTGCAGGAATGGCCCTGTCTTGGAGGGTACAGTGAGTAGATTACCAGAGCTGGTTTAAAACACGAGACTGAGGGGGACACATTTTGCACTTAAAGGCCAGTCCAGTCTGGACTAAGCAAGTCCCTCCTCAGAACAGCCCCAGGCCTTCTGAGGCTGCAGCTTTCCCTGGAGGTAAGTTCTTTATGATGTGCCCTATAGAAATACACACACACACAGAGCTGTAAACAAGGCTGCACATTTTGTAGTTGGTTGTAATTGTGAGGACTTAAAAATAACCAGTACTTGCTCATTAGTGGAAGAAAACTCATTAATTGTGGTCCATCCGTTCACTGAACACTGTGCAGCTCCGAGAGATGGGAAGATCTAGAGGCAGTGGGTGGAGAGGTGTCTGTAGCATACTCCTCCGTGGGGGGAAAGTCCGTGTTGGTTTATGTATACATATTCTATCTACTTAAATATATATACATATCCATGCACAGGTCTAAAATAACATACCCCAAACTGTTAACGGAAATTCACGGGATTGGGATTAGAATGAAGGGAGAGTAGGTATTTTGTTGTTTTAGTTTATACACATTTGTAATACTTTTGCCAATAAATCATCAGTTTTATAATTTTAAAAATAACAATTATAGGTAAAGAAGTAAATGATAAATTAATTCATTGTAATTCCTTTTTACATGTGATTTTGGATTTCTGCCTGGGTTTTCTTTTAAGTTATGAAGCTCTGAGGGGTCACTGGGGTCACTGGGTTGCTAGTCTCGTTCTTAGGTGGGTGCTGTTTTTCTATTTTTATTGTGTGATGTGAATGATTAGCCCTCTATACCTATTTCCCACCAGTGTCATTGGAAGAGTATTCTCTCACTGAAATATTAAGAAATATTAGCTGAATGGTGGCACTGATTAAATTAAGTCTCCATCTTTTGAGAAGCGCAGATACATTCTGTAAGAGTCACCCTAAGCCGTCAGAAGAAATCACCTTCCCAATGGCTTTGCTTGCCCAGTTTTTCTTCTTTACCTTTCAAAACCTAGCTGCTCTACTCATACTATTTCTCCCACTTGAAACATATTCTCCTCTTGTAATTTGAGAAGCAAAAGGATAATTTTGTGAGGACATTTTTGGTTCTTATGTTGAAACCTTGGTGATTTTTGTAAATTCAACTTTATGCATTTGTCTTTTCCAAACCTAGGCACTCTTTTTATCAGCTAGATTTCTAGCCTACTGTCAGTCAGTTAATCCTAAAGTGCTAGGACTGTAGATTTCATGGCCTCTGCTTTGAGTGAATCCAGAATTGGAAACAGTCTCCTGTGCACGTGTACAGACTATTTTGAAGTTGCTTCGAGACTCACTAAATCTCCTTCTGCATGTCTCTTTCTTCCCTGTATGAATTTTTCCAAAGATTATGGTACTTTTCCCCCCCTTTTTAAAATTTATCACTCTTTACCCTGCCCCTCAACCACCTCTTAAAATAATAAAATGTAGCCAGCTTGTTTTCAAGTGCTTTCATTTCGTTGACATTGCCAGGAACTTTTAGGTGAATTTGTTACTGGTGGAAGTAGAGTTCTTGGGGTACTGTGAGGAAATGAATTTCCTGAGGCCCCCCATGGGAGGATTGGGTTTCGTGGAAAGTTTTATTGATGATGTAAAATTAAGGGGGTTCCCCTCCAAGGTCCCATCTCTGTCTGTCCCGCCATGGAAGGAGTCCAATCTTGTCTTCAGAGGGGCCAGAATTAAGGCCACAGCCCAGAATTTCTGTTCCATATTAAAGTCTAGTCCAGTCCAGCCTCTAGCTAGCGTGGCTTGTGTTCCCAGCTGCAGTCCATTGCTCGTTGGGCCCACATGGTCATGGGCCATGTGGCTGCTAAGGACACATGACTATGGAGAGAGAATGAGAACTCTCGAACCCACAGAGGCGTGCGGGTCATGGAGGAAGACAGAACAAGCGAGAGCTCTCCTTTGTCTGGGGTTTTAACCAGGAGCTTAACCAGTTAACTTTTCAAGATTTTGCATGCTTCTGATGGGGCCACCCCTAGCCAATCCATTGGTCCCCAGGCTAGACCGACAGGCAAACACCTCCCCTGTGCCACCCTGATTTGTGCCCATGTGTCTGTCTCCCCCAACAATCCAGTAGTGATGGGGGAAGGGAACGGTGTGAACCCCTTGGAGGAACAATGCTGTGTGAAGCTGTAGCTTCCCGGTGAAGCTTCGCGGGTCACCGTGCTTACACTGTCTGACTTCCCTCTGCTTTCTTTCCTTTATTAATATTAACTAGCTAATTACGACTATAACAAATTCTCTGTTGACCACCTGCCCACGTTCTCCTGGGTATGCCTGGGCTGGGTCCTGGTGTCCAGGGCCTGTTGTGAGTCCCCACAGCCAGCCGGGTGCCATGACTCTCCATTTCTTTTTTTCAGTGCAATCGCCTCTATCCTGAGGGCCTGGCTTGACCAGTGTGCAGAGGACTTCCGAGAGCCCCCGCACTTCCCCTGCTTACAGAAACTGCTGGATTATCTGAAGCAGATGATGCCGGGCTCCGACCCTGAGAGAAGGGCACAAAACCTTCTCGAGCAGTTCCACAAGCAGGAAGCAGAAACTGACAGTGAGTACCCGGTTGATCCCAGGGAAAAAGCCTAATCCTGATCCTGTCGCCGCCACAGTGAGGAGGTGTTCTCCTACCCTTGTTGACTAGGAGACCGTGGCTTCCTTCTGAAGGACAAGCTGCTGGGCGACTGGCGGTGGGTGTAAAATTCTCAAGGTTTTTCAAGGGCTAATTCCAGAGCCCCAGAGTTTTAGAGCCAAGGGGCCTTTCAAGACCACCTAGTCTGGCTCCCTCATTTTACAGGCGAGGAAACGGGGGCTCAGAGAAGCAAAGTAATTTTCTAGGGTTTCTTCTGCTCCCGTAAGGAGGATCTTTTATCTTTCCTGGTGAACACATACTGCGCTGAGCCTGAATTTGCTCTTATCTGCCCAATGGCTTCTCCTTCTATCAAATGGAAGCTCATCACAAACAACCACCCCCATTCAGCAGGCAAAGAACGACATCCAGTTGGGCCCCTACCCTCACCAAAGCTGGGAAGAGGTGTTTCTCCTTCCCCTAACAAGCATCACTAATTAATCTGCCCCCTGCCAGGGCGGATTACTGGTCATCCCGAGTCTCTAATGGCCTCATCAAAGGAAGTTTCTGAGGCTGTTTTTTCCTCTTTGCGGAACCAACTGCCTGTTTTCAAGGACAAAGGAAGGGCCACCCCTGCAGGTGGAGGAGTGATTGGAACTGCCGGGCGTGGAGAAAGCCAGAAAGAGTTAGTTGAGGCTTTCGGCGGGGCGTGCTCACCCCCCGGCCCTGGGCAGTGGTTGCCACGCCGGCTGACCCACTTGGAGCTCCCCGCAGGCCTGTCCCTGAAGTGACGCCCGATTTCCTCGGTGCGTAAGGGAAGTGGTTCCAGCACACCGATAAGGGACGCTGCCTGAGCGCCAAGGAAAACAGCCTCAAATTCCAAGCAGTACCTGCTGAACTTTTCATGTTATGCGGGACCAGGGGGAGAACAGTTGCGTCCTTAGAAGCTGACTGCCAAGCGCTGGGGACCTGGATCTCGGATGACTTCACGAGCCGGGAATGTTTGACTACCAGGGGCGCTCCTCCGCGCTGGACCTCCGCTCCCTCCAGGGCCTCCCCGCCCGCCTTTGTGCCAGTGGAGACGCTGGGTTAGAGCCCAGCTCTCCCTGGGGCAGCCCCTGGCTCCAGGCCTAATTGGGGAACCAGTGGGACCAGTCGTTCATTGTTCCCGGCAGGGGACTGAGGCTGAGCTCACTGGCAGGCGGAGGAGGGACAGGGCGAGTGCCTGACTTTGGAAAGGCTTTCAGGCAGTACCCAAGAATGAATGTTTTCTAAGTTTGGACATTTTTTTTTTTTTTATCAAGAAAGCTCGAAACTCTGATGATTAAGTACAGGAGCCATTACTGAAAGGAGTTTTAGGAGCTTGATTTCCATGCGCTTCTTTTACCCAGTTTCATGCCGGCAAAAGCAACTGTCTCTCCTGTATGTTTCTCACAAGTGAGATCTTGCTTCAGGTTTTCACTTACATGCTTCTGGAAGAGAGTTGAGAGCAAACACAGTGGTCTGGGCCCCAAAGAGAAAGGACCATACAGTGTTTCTCAGCAGCATCCAGGGCCCGTGTCAGGCCACTGCGAGTGTTGAGTGAATGACAGATGAAGCCTTACCACATACACTCCTTGGCTAAAGTGGCCTCTGCATTGCAGTGATGGAGACAGACTTATATAGTAGCCAGCAAGAGGGCTGAGAGGCCCCTTCTGAACCTGTGCTTGGGATTCCAGATGTCTTCTTCCTCCAGGGAATGAGAGAGCACCAGAGTTGTGTGCAGGAAAAGAGGTGGAATCATGGGGTCTCGGCTTTCTTTAGCTTGTGCCTGTGTGTGTCCTAGACTCCAGAACAGGCAGTGATCCCCTTGTACTTTCTCCACTCATAACCCATCCCCACTCACATCAGTACCTTCAACTCTGGGGAGACGGGGCCAGCCTTAAACCACACACCTGTCACCAGAGTTGGCAGGTCCTCACGTGGCACCTCAATAGGGGAAGTGATGCAGGGTCCACTCTCAACATCCCCTTTCCTCTAGAAAACTAAGAAAAGGCCACCCTGACTTGATCCACAATGCTTAGAAGTCTTTTATTCCATAAAGAAAGAGAGAAGGTTTTAAATATAAAATTTGGGGGAGTAGTAACACACATTAAATTTCTGCTAAGCTCTAACTGAATAGAGCTAGGTATTTTCCTAGAGGACAGATTGAACTGAGAGGAGGGCAAGGAGTGTGAAGGGGGATGAGATGGGGAATCAGCCCAGGAATTGGGGACAGTCCCAGAGAAGGGAGGCTGGGGAGTCACATTAAACTTCATCCTGCTCCAGTCTTTAATGTGGAATCTATAGGTCCTGCTCCATGTGCTGAGTCTTCCAGCTTTGATTTGGATCCTAGGTAGTGACTGCAGTGATGTTAACTCACTTAGTCTGTGCTCTATGTGATCTGCCAATTGATGATCTTATCTATTATAAGGCTCACTGTGAATTTAGTTGTTTGTTTGTTTTGTTTGTTTTTAAATCCTCACTTGAGGATATGTCTTTATTGATTTTTAGAGAGGGGGGGAGGGAGAGAGAGAAACATTCATCAGTTATCTCCCATACATGCCCAATGGGATTGAACTGCCAACCTTGGTACGTGCCCTGAGTGGGAATCAAACCCACAACCTTTTGGTGCACGGGACAACTCTCCAACCATCTGAGCCACCCCACCAGGGCATAATTTAGTTTAAGACCATTCTGCTTCATGCATATTTAACTTGAAGCAGAAGCTGAAAGCTACTCCAAGCATTTTGAGAATTCTAAGGACTTGTTGAGAATTCCAAGAACTTCATTGGCATTTCTGACACCAAATTGGCCCATTTTACTCCCCAAAGCCTGACCTGCCTTCACGCTCTTCCTTCTAGGCTTCTGGTTGTAAATGGCCCAGTAATTAAGAATGGCATATTTGGGGTTCAGGAAGTAGTTGGGTTAGTCCTTGAGCTGACCAGAGGGTTTGAGGGAGCCCAGGATGAGGGTATCCCAGCTTTGCTTCTCTCTAGACTTTGCCTGATCTGGCTCTTTCTTTGGCCTAGGAACCAGGAGTTTGTCAAAGACATGAGGCCTCTAAACCTGATAAAGAATCAAAGAAACAAGCAGAGACTGCGAAGACCTCCATTCATTCCACTCAGATTTATTGTGCTTGCTCTTCTCTGTGTGGGTTTACTGAAGGATTTGCCCTTTCCCTCCTAAAAGAAAGAAGTTCAGTTGGACTCTATAAACAAGGTCATGTACATGGCCCCAAGTAACTAACTTTCTTCCTTCTGTCAACAGATGGGTTTGCCAGCACCGTCTCCTGCCGCCTGGAAGAAGAGGAGGAGCCGGAGGCCGGAGGGTCCGCAGAATTCACATGCTTCTCCGAGGACCTCGTGGCTGAGCAGCTGACCTACATGGATGCAGTACGTCTTCTTTGTGCCTCCGATGGGCTTCTCCTCAACACCTGGGGGGTGACAGTACTGGTGGCCCGGGCAGGGCAAGGGGTAATGTGATTTAAGTCTTTTCAAATCCTTAAGAGAGGCTGTGCCTGTAAATGCAGAGCGAAGCCGTGACTTGAATCAGTCACCTGAATAATTCAGGCGGAAGCTCCCCTTGCAGTTCTGGGTGAAGGTGCCTTTTCCTTGGCACTCAATACACAGAGGGAAACAAGAATTTTAATCCCAGTGAAACAAAACCTGCCCTGTCCCATGGATATTGCTCTCCCTTTAAACTCATAAATATTTCAAGATCTGAACTGTTTATTTGGGGGTTTGTAAAAGGGTCAAAGTATAAGTTAGAATAAAATAAATTTACCGAGTCCACATGTGACTGTATCTGGCAGCTCATTTCCACATGTGCTTCCTGCACCTTTAAAGTTTGACTTTTTTTTTTTTAGCTGTACATATTTGGTTACGTCAGCCACGTTTCATAGCTCAACCTTAGCTGGTAAATGCCAGTTAAAGAAAAAGTGACCATTATGAGTTATCACAGTTGTTTGGGCTCTTCTGCACTTACCACTTTGGGGGAAGCAGCATTAAAAGTTTCCGAGTTTCCATCAAGTGAGCCTGCAAACAAAACTCCCAGAAATACACCAGAGAGAGTCTGTGTAAAGTAAATCCTGGTGCTCTCTCTTCATATATAAACCCTGGACATCGTGTATCGAATTGCTGTACCAATGAGAATCTGATTTGTTCAACAAATTTGTGATTGTTCCTCTTGACAGCATGAGAAAGATGGGAAACATCATTGGTTATGACTTGTAGGCAAAGACCTGAAAGCCAGGCTTCAAACCCTCACTGTTCCTCTGCTGTGTGACATTGAATAGCTTTCCCTTTATATGCTTCTGACCTTCCTCATTTAAAATAATGTGAAGCAGTGACATCTGTGAATGTCGCATGTACTGTACTTTGGTGGGCCACTTTCCAGGTGGTTTTTGAGCATTCATATGTATTATAGACAATTCATGGGTCACGAGTGCCCAGAGAAGACCATGGATATGAATTTGAGGTCAAAATAATCTTTAAAATGTTTAAAAATTTTCAATTACAGTTGACGTGCAATATAGTTTCAGGTGTACAGCATAGCAATTAGACATTTATGTAATTTACAGAATGAAAGGTCAAAAATAATCTTAATCACCTTTTTAAAATTAGTAGCATAGATTTTTGCTTGGCTTTTCCTTCAAGACAGAAAAGTCCAAATGTTTTGGGCATTTAAATTTTCTTTGGTCATTGTGTTTCATTTCTTCAATTGAACAGATTTAGAAAGAACCTGTAGGCTTTTCCGATCAGTCCATATATTAATTATTTGCTTTCGTCTATTGAAGTGGACACCATGAGGCAAATCAAGTAGAAAAGAATTATTTGTCCATTGAGGAAAATAGCAATTTACAGATGACCCAGATGACGCACTGTGCTGCACGAAATGTCTGTGTCGTCCTTCAAGTCAATTCCTCTTTTGTTCCAGCAACTGTTCAAGAAAGTCGTGCCCCACCACTGCCTGGGCTGCATTTGGTCCCAAAGGGATAAAAAGGAAAACAAGCACTTGGCTCCTACGATCCGCGCGACCATCTCTCAATTTAACACCCTCACCAAGTGTGTCGTCAGCACCATCCTGGGGGGCAGAGAGCTCAAAACTCAGCAAAGAGCCAGAATCATCGAGAAGTGGATTAACATCGCTCACGTAATTGGCTTTTTAAAAAATGTTCTTTGTGTTTAGTAGACATTGGAGGCTTCATCGCTGTGTTTAAATGCCTTCTACTTGGTTGCAAGGCAATCGAAAGACCCTATGTGAGGGCCCGCTGGGTTTTGTTGTTGTTATTGTTGTTCTGAAGTATGAAAGCTGCCTTTCTTATCTTGGGAGCTTATTTATTTTCCCTCCTTTCCCTGTTTTTCCTCGCTTGCTGCTTTTTTTCTCCTGGAGCCCCACAGTGCTGATCCTCCAGGTTGAGACGTCCGGTCTGCTTTTTCCTTCGTAATCACAGACTGTGGGTTCTGCCCTGTGTTCAGTAAATATGCACTGATAGTCTCAGTGTCAAACAGATGGCTCCTCAGCCCAGAGTGATTACCCGCGCACCCTATCTTTCGCAGATTGGAAGAGCCAGTACCTTCTCAGAATCCTCTGCCTTTTTTCTAAAGGACTGAGACACACAGATTTCACATTAATCTGGGGCTTTTCTGAGAGCCTTGTATCTGAAGTTGGAGGGGCAGAGTCTAGTCCTAGGCCTGAATGACATTTTTCTGAGTGTCAGTTTGGTCTCTTGGATCAGCTGCTTATATCCCATGTGGCCTTCACTTACCATTATCTTATTTCATCATTGGGAAAAGGTGAACAGTATTGAGTCAGTTGGTCACCAACTATTTCATGAACTTCTGACTGTGCATAGCTACAGTGTTATGTATTTTGGGGACATAGATAGGATAAACACAGTTAATTTGGTCTTACAGGAGTCTGTAGTCAAACGGGGAAGCTAAAATGTGCTGGAATTATCTCATCCTCGTCAGAAGAGGAGTGAGGCCGTGTGGGAGAAATGCTGCAGAGGTGGAGGGAGGGGAAATCCATCCTGACTGGGGCTATCGAGGAAGGCTTCATGGATAGGATGCTGTTTGCATTTAGCTTGAATAATAGAGAGGACTTTGGTATTTAACGATTGGGTAAGATTTTTTTTCCCTAGGTAGAAGAAATTATCTCGGCAAAAGCTATGTAATTAATAATTTTGAAAAATCGTTATTATGTAAATATTAATTAGCCCATGTTCTGGGTTATATAGGTCACCCCTCGACAAAAACATATTTTGCTTTTTATCCCATTATGTGTATTTCTTTCATTAAGCTCCTATCTATAGGACATAAAGCTTAAATTTTCACATTCCCTTTTTCCACATTCTTTCTAGTTGTCTTAAATTGAAGAGCAGGGCCATAACTGTACCAGAGAATTGGCCTTATTTTGAGTGTTTAGGTGGTCTTTTACCACAGACTTTTTAGTATATGAGAAAAGTAAGAAACAAAGACCATCTCATGCAGTGTCGATTTTTCCTTTCCTGAGCTGAGCTTATTTCTCATCAAGCAGGAGCTACAAAAAGTTCTGATAGAGTGTGATCGAGATCATGGGATTTCTCTGTCTTAGAATGATAAGAGAGTATTTTCTGCTATAAATACCGTATCATTTGCAGTCTTCTACGTGTCTCTAACGAAATAGTCTGTCTACCTTTAACCCATTCAATTGCTTAGCAAATCTAGAGCAAGAATATAGCATTTGTACGTAAAACAGTATGGCTCAAATAATGGCTTTTGGTCCAAATTAAATATAGACCGTGCATTTACGTGATAATAAGAAATGCGAGTTGAGTGATTTGAAGAATATTCCAGACCCCATAGCATGTGCTTCACAGCCAAGGGTCCTTACTCTGGGTGAAGCAGTTTCCTAGTATTGAGCATCTGTGTCCCTTGAAATCACGTGGGTTAGCTTAGAATAGGGAGACTCACAGCTGGTTTCCTGCCAAGATTGATTTTACTTTTCTTGCATTATAACCACAGTCAATTTCTATTGAGAGAGTGTTTGAAAACTGATAATTTTACATGCAGAGAAAATTTCTGACCAAATATGACTATATTTCCTTGGACTGGCCTCGCTGCTACATTTTTGTTTTTGTGTCATATCTCCTGGAAGGAACCTCCTTCTCTAGAAATGGAGCCAGATGCCTTTTCTGCTCCTTTAAACCCTTGACTTAAGCCTCTCTCTGAATAATGTGTTCCATATGTTTATTACAATTTGCATGAAATATCTGTGCCTGAGTTCCTTTATTTATTGCAAGTTTCCTGATTTTTAGAACATAATTTTGGCTTCTGAACCTTTGTTGAACCAACCATGCTCTTGCTTTCCAGACTGTAGTTCAGAGCTTTTTCTGCCCCCCCC